TAAAGGTGGTTTCTTATGCGAATTTTTGAGAAATGAACGTTTTTTCGGCAAAACGAACGTTTGTTTTGAATTTTCTGGTCGTGTTACGTTACATCTGATTTTCGAAATCTGATTCGTAGTTAAGGAAATCTGCGCCACAAACCTGTCCCAGATTTTTTATTTGCCAAAACTAATTGAAATTATAACAAAAACTAATTGAAACTATAAATTAAATGTAAATAGGTGCTTATGGTTATATCTACGTAGAGATGCGCGAATGCATTTTTTTTTGGCTCTGCATTGCATAATGCAGCATGCGACATTATGCAATACCAAAATCAAGAAGCAAGATTCATACCCAATCTTTCTTATCTCTAGACAGAAGTTTATTTTATAGTATTTTCAAATCTCATATTAGTTAGTCTGCTTTATACAGGTAGGAAATCACTAACTGATGCTAATATCACTTAGTATTACATATGATATAAAATATAATACTGTATCTTATTAATTTTTGTTGTATAGTAATTTTTATGTGCACTTTTAAATTTTAAAATGTCTACATTACATTATGCGACATGCCCATCTCTATATCTACGTCATAAACACAAGATTTTTTTGTTTTTGTTTTTTTTGGCAAAATCTTTTAATAATAAAGATATTCCAAATTAAATTAATTTATACAAGTGATATTAGTCAAGAGACGCATTCTTCATTAGTAACGCCGAACAAGTTTCTGGCTCTCAACACTCATCGGATGATGTATTTGTTCCCAACCTTCAGGAAGTCATAATTATAATTTGGCAAGATTAGTCGCACGAATGTTTAATTAAGAGAAAGAATAATTCTTTAATATAGACTTTACATATGCATTTATGTGTATATAATATTAATTATAGCATATCGCAAGTACAGTCGCCATCCCATAAATCACACAGTTGGGCACATAGTAAATTTTTTTCCAGAATGTGCTTATATAGAGGTTGTGCTTATAGGGAGATCTTTTTTCTATAAATTAAATCATAGTTTGGCCTAAACATAAATGTGATTACATATGTGACTATATAGAGGGACGACTGTATAGCATATCACGAGTTACAGCATGCATAAAAGTTACAGTATGATTATAATAATATGGTGAATACGAATGTTGTGACATGTCGTGATATAAAATAAAATAGTACGGCAAGTTATAACTTAGTATGTTCATCTTTCCTACTTATAAGTATGATAGGATTTTTAAATATACTATGAGTATAAGAACTTGAAGTTGTTCTACGCTACTCTTTTTATGTTTCATACTATACTACTTCATATATTACTCCATTTTTTCTGGGCGACGCTAGGGTTGTTTTGATAAAAATTTCATATGTCTATATAAAATATTAAGTATACTAACTAGTATAACTGACTCAATTTTTTTTTATACATATATGTATACTATACGCTTTTTTAAAAAAAAAATTTATATACATATATGTATACTATACGCTTTTTCCTTTTTTTTAGCTTACGCTACATCTTTCATGGTATTAACCTTACGCTTTTATGCAATACCGATAAAGAGTATACTGATACGAATATCTCAGGTCAAATAAAGAAACATGATGCTATCAAAGCAATTTCGCTGGCGAATAATTGAAAATCAATAGAAAGCTTATCATTTCGAAAATTGCAAACACTTTCGAAAATATGGATGTACCGAAAAACTTCTGCGACAAATATTAATAAAATCAAGATTTTTTGAACGGAATCTTGAGTCACATCCTTAAACCAGTCGACAAATTTTGACCATATCTAACTTTTTTAATATCATTTAACTACTCGTGTAATATATTTATTATAAAAGTTTATTTTATATGGAGACTTTTTATATTCTTGTCGATATTTAGCCTTTTCCATAAGTTTTCACACAAACTAAATATAATATTGAACGTGTCGATATTTATACATATTGTTATTACCACCCTTTCTAACTCTAACTCTAATCTGATTTAAAGACTAACTAGGGAGTGTCAATAACAAAAATAGGGTGGCAATAGCATTTCCCTTAGTGAAATTCAGATTATCCGTTCGTACGGCCGTCTCTATAATCTTAACTAATTTAATATTTTTATTCAGTAATTATAGAATTTTTATTAATCGATGCATTTAAATAAGACATAACATATATTTTTATCTCTTGTGGTACGTACAAAAAATTATACTATATAGCCAGTTGATTATAAATTTGTATTATATACCTAACTTTTGGGAATAACAACATTAATTGTTTCTCAATCTAATTTTTAACTCTCTGGTTTCAACTTTTGCGTCAACTTGTCTTGCTCATTTTTAAACTTTTTACCTTTTCTTGCTTCAACTTGCTCATTTTCAAACTTTTTAATCTTTTCTTGCTTCAACTTCCGTTTCAACTCTTCTTGTTTAAACCTTTCCATTTCTTCATTGCAAACCTCATAATAAGTAAGACTTGGGAAATAATTTCTATAGTGGTAATTAAATTGAATAAATGGATCAAATTTAATACTATATATATGATCCGGCGAAAAAGGTTGATACACAAAAATTATTATCTCAATTTCTTCTACTACGCAAAGCTTAGTAGTCAAGTCAAATGCGCATAAAGGGTTATAATCATTTCAAATTTTATGTCTCACATACAAACGTTATTTTCTTTTTCTCATGGATGAGTTAGGTCAAGACTAGAGGTGCAGGTGAATCGTCCCAATGATGCCGTAACGTGCCGTAACTATATTAAATAATTATAAAAAGTTACGGAAATGTGCCGTAACTTTTTATAATTATTTAATACATTACGGCAAAGTTACGGCATCATTGGTAGATTCACCTGCACCTCTAGTCGAGACAGAAGTTTCTTGACCAGTAACGAACAAAGGTGATCCTTCGTGTTCATTTATACTTTTTAGCTACCTGACGGTGCTAGCAGCAACGTAAAGTCTTACCCCTACGCAAGAAGGTTGTTGAGGTTACTGAATATGATAAAAGAAATCAAGGGATCTTCACCATCAAAATTCAAGGTCGGCAAAAAAAATTGATCACAATATGGTCGAACTTTTACGCAGTCTTATTATGACTGCAAATGCTTCTGGTGCTTCAATTTCCATGCCTTTGTTACATCAAAGGCTTGGAGAAAATGATTTTACTCTTTCTAAGTGGCAGTTACATGCGTTGGGATATTATTATGGTTGTGACGAACGTCGGAATATATTACATGAATTATTAAAAAAAAATTGATAATTGGGTTGTTGCCTAGCAAAAACATGCTTAGAGTATATATTTTTTATATACTCGAAGCATAGTTTTGCTGGGCAACAACCCAATTAATAATATTTTAGAGCTTAGATTGTTAATTTTATTTTATGGGAAATTCTATTTTGACCCGGGTCAAAATGACCCCTCCTAGAATTTAGGGTTAGTGCGGGCCACAATTATGTTAACGCCGGCCGGGTTTTTATATTACAGCTGTTTTCATAATTCTTGGGACACCTGTAAAAAATTAGCCGAATGATTTTTCGGCCGATCCGATTAAGTTATTATTTCGGCATAATAGATTCAATAAAAATTGGTACGTACGTACAACTGCTATACGTAGTAAGTACAGTATGTACGCACCAATTTTGATTTCACGGGTATTATGAAAAACCAGACTTTTTTCATTTATTTGGACACCGTGCAATAATATGATTATTATATGGGTCATAAAAAATAACTAAATTTGTAAGGTTAACCTATGCCTTCGGTCATGTAACGGTTAACCCGTGCAAATTTTGTTATTTTTTACAACCCACACAATAACTATAACAGATAACATATGTACGTACGTACGTATCATAGTTATACGTACCAAAACTTAACTGGATCGGTCGAAAAATCATTCAGCCAATTTTTACAGGTGTCTCAGGAATTATGAAAACCTGTAAAAAAATCCTGGCCGGCATCAACATAATTCTGGCCCGCACTAACCTTAAAATTTTGCTGAGTGTTATTTTGACCCGGGTCAAAATAGAATTTCCCTTATTTTAATTATGTATATTAATTTTAAAATAAATTATTTAATAAAAGTCATTGTTGCTCATTTTCCCGAAGTCACATTCCCGAAATGCTATTTCACCGACTTCATAATTCCGACAACTTGTTTACCGATAGTTTATTTAACCGACAGTCATTTCGCCGAAAAGTGATTCCAATCATTGTCGTTAGGGTCAGGTATAGAATTAGAGTTAAGGTTAAAGTATGGTGCCATAATTATTATGTCATGTCGAAATTGTATTATTACATATTTTTATTAATGATTTTATTATATTATGACAATTTTGACATGACATAACTATTTATGGCACCATACTTTAGTTAAGGTTAGTTTAATTTTTAAATAAACTTAGCGGTGAAATGAGCTGTCGGTGATATAATTGTTGGTGAAATAAACTTCTTGGCGAATTGATTGACGGACCCAATTATGCCCTGTTAGTAAAATGGATTGTCAGTATTACGACTTCGGTGAAATGGTATTTCAGAAAAATGACTTCGGTAAATTAGCCTGTATTCATTAAAAGCATATTGGTGTATCAACCTTTTTGCACTGGACAATGTTATTATTTTAATTTTAACGTACTGATTTTGACGTTCAGAAGGTAACATAAAATTAAGTTCAATCACAGCAATGATCTGCGCTCGTATCATGACCCATTCGAGTTCTCCATGGTCTCGCATCTCAGAATAAACATCATTCACAAGTGCAACTATAAAAAAAAACAAAAAAGGGCGGAATTAAAATATATTCATATGTAAAAGCAAGTAAAGGGATTTATAAGTACATACTCAAAATGTTTAGAAGTACAATAGCTGTAAATATTGAGAAAGCGACTTTGGCAAGAATTACAAAACGATAACTTTCCCATGGTTGAATAGAAGCGTAGTCACCCAAAATCCAAGACCAAACATTTTTAATTGCTTGATCAAATGTCGCAAAAGATTGATTAGCATTAGGTGTAGCAGATGTTTGATTAGATTGATCAGAAGCCGCAGAAGGTTGATTAGGTGGATTCTTTGCGACATATACCATTGCTGCATGAGCGCAAGCAAATATAATTACGCATAGAAAAGCAAGTAATGACACTACTTTCCAGCAAATCTTTATAAACGCTTTATATAAAAAAAAAAAATTAGCATATTTATACAATTTTAAATCATGAAAATGAAAATAATTTTAAATAATCCTTACTGATATTGAACACTCCTATAGTTTCAAAGACACATAGAAACGCAATTAAACCAATATACATTATAAAAATTGAGATACATCGGAGTATTGAGGGTGCACCATCAACACATTCCATAATTCCAGTAATTGCAAAAAGTACAATTAATGAGAGACCTAAATAGGTAGAAGGAACTCTAAAAAATCGAGGTCCGATACATCTTACATATATAATACCATGCCTTATCCAACCAAGTGCTAAAAGAATTCCAAGGCATAAGCATACAATCAATGAATTCTTATCTCCGGAATCTATGCCAATTCCAATAATGAAAAGTGTAGAGAAAATCAAATAGAGTGAAAATAAGAAATAATAACGGACTTGAGCAAATGTGTACCATTTGTATTTAATAATGGCTTGGAACATTCGCGACTCAAAAAACTTGGTTGAAATGTGAGAATAATCAAGTGATTCAGATTTACTGCTGAAAACTATTTTGACATAAGGACTTGGTTCACTAGGAAAGAGTATGTCGAATATAGACTTAGATTTAGGGTATGTGCATAAGCCAGGTAGTGGTGCATAACATAATGTGGTTAAGTGTGGAGGAACTTTATCGACATTTCCGAGCCATTTCTGTAATCTAAACTGCAATCAGCATATATAGTAGATGATGATATGTAGAGTAAAATTTAAAACATACACAAACCTAGAATATTTTGTCAATGTAAGATGATTAAAATCGCCAGGATATCCCCAAAGATTTTTATTTTTCGAATACTTATTCCATGGATTTTTGGTTTTCGAATGATCTTTGAGATTGTCTGCCTCCTTATAGGTAAGCTTTTTAATAAATTCATTTACCCAAGGCTTGAAGAAATTTACCATAATTTCTGGAAGAATCCTGGAAACCAAACACATAGACTGCATTTCATTTTCATTTTCATTTTCATTTTCATTTTCATTTTCGAACCATTTTTCTACGCAATAATCTAAAAAACCTTGAATTAATTCAAAAACAGCGTAATTATGCGGGCATTCATCCTTCACCCTACGCAAAAGTTCACATAGCTCCTTCAATTTTTTACTTTCATTCAATTTACTTTCATTCTCTAGATCTTCTTTTAAAGTGTTAATAATTTCCCGAATTTCAGATTCTAATTTTTCATTGATCAAGTTATTTTCTACTGATTGTTCAGTTTTTATTTCAATGTTATGTTCTACTAACTCTTCGGATTTTATCTCAATTTTATCCATTTTGTTAGATGTTTTAATACCGTTATCCATATTGATTGTACGTACGGTGCAGGAAATCTAAAAATCTCAATCACTTTATATAGAACAAAAAACGACCAGCACATTGAAATTCAGTAGCGGTTTATTTTAAGTTCAGCTGTATGAATAAAACAGCTCCTATTAAGTACATATTATTCTTGGCGTATTCCCATCACTCTATTGAGATCGATAATTTAGGAAATTTATTCTCAATGAGCTACTAGTTTATGCATCATCTTAAAATGGAGATTGAGGCACCGTACGTATGTTTGACATTTTAACAATGACTTTCAGATTTAAGAAAAGGCTTTTTATTTTGTTGTTTGTAATAATTTAAACTTAGTGTAAACGTCTTATTGAGAGGCTTCATCATGTTTGGAAGTTGTTTTTTATGTTTACATGATTATCTGTATACAGTGTTTTGATTCAAAACTGTTATACAAAGAACAAAAAACATGACAACGAACTCTAATAAATTGCGGGCCCGTTTATTGTTACTATTGTTTAATTAAAGGAATAGAATTACACACTGCGTGGGTCAAAAGTCCCTAGACAAATCCTTTTAAGTGATCTGTTAATTCCACCCCCATTTTTGTTAATGACATCCCTCTACATAACTCTAAATGACCTTTAATCCTTTACCCTAACTGCTAACAAATCAATTACATAAATTTGCATTGTCTCTAAGTACTGTTTATAGAATTTACAGGATTAGAAGCCGGTTAGGGTTATATAGGGTGGCATTAACAGTTCTCCCATTTTATTACATTCAAGTTGACGGAAGGTCATTAGATGAACATACTAACGCTAGGTTATTTCGACCCCAAATGAGCAGCTAATTACAAACTAGTTCAAACTAGTTTATTGTATGAATTTCACGAATTTTGTGCTACAAAAGTAGGGCAATGCACTTTGAAATTGGATCGAGTCATAGCTAGAACAAAAAAATTGCATATACATAATGCTGAAAAAGTTGCTGATAACATCAAATACCACGAAACGCCGTATAAACAGAGATGCCATCTGAAATAGTACAAACGATTATACCATTGTTACATGAAATTTTGCACCTTTGTGTATCGTACATATACATGTTGGCAAAATCCCAAACTATTATAGTTTGGGATTGGGCGTCCCAAATCCCAAACTCTGGCTAAACTCATATCTCAAAAACTTTATTAATGATCTTTATTTAATAAACAATTCATATATATATTTATAGCTATATATAATATATTTGCAAAATTTAAATTTATTCTTTTGATTCAATTTT